GACAAGCTCCAGCCAACTAGCGGTCCACAGGATGAGGGCAATGGCCCTAAGCCAAATGCACCAGGACCCAGAGATGCCCGACCCGCACCACGAGGCGAGAAACGATAGCAGACAGCGGCAGCTCCACCACTTCCCAAGTATATGGGCGAGTGGATGGACGTTATGGAAGAAAACGTGGGTTGGTTCAAGAAGATGATGAAGGCTATGGCAGCAGCGCTCCTGTGCAGGACCGACGATATTGTCGAGCCACGGCCGTTCCCACCACGGCCTCCATTTGATGGGGCATCATCTTCCAACGCAGCTACTCAAGAAGCAGCACAAGCTGCAGCCACTACACTGGTGATGCAGGCATGGGAGGAGCACGAGCTAGGCAATTGGGAAGAGGAGAGAGGAACCAACGAGGGACGACAAATCGAGGACCACGACGACTAGGGAACGTTGTGTTTTCTTTTCCTTTTATTTTGTATTTTGCTTTTGAGCATAGGGACAATGCTAGAGTTTAAGTTTGAGGGTGATGTTTGTTGAACCTGTTCTTTTGTTTAGTTTTTTTCGTTTGTTTTGGATGGTCTTTGGATTGGTATTTCATTTACGATTTATCTTTGCTAGACTTTGTTTTTATTATATTTTATTTTATTTATCTTATTTTGATTTGGTCTTTTGCATGCAGATAATATAACTTAGTTCCATTTATGTATTTCGATTTTCGTATTGATGTTATGTATGTCACATGCATTTCATATAGGATCGAGTGCAAGTTGCATTTCCGGATTCTATTGAAGCAAAGCAGTTAACGAATTAGTAAACTGGCTAGTTGATTTTAAAATTGAAGTTGTGCATAATTGAAAATTAATAGATGAACCTTCCGACTGCGTTTCTGCAACTTGTTTTTAAAGCCTTTCGAATCATTTCCGATTAAGCATGAACACACTTTTCTGAGGGGTATATTAGTCCAAGGTTTGGGGGTGAGTTAGAATTGAACTATGTTTTCACGATTCGAGTTGTTGGCTAAAAGTTCAATAAATGGTCATTACATTTTTATTTTATGTTATTCTGTTAAAAAAAAACTGGTATTGTCGTGATTCACGCTCTGATTTCCCAGTCTCTCTGACTCGAGCTTAACCCGTAGGGTGCACTTTGTCGCCTAGTCTCTCGAGCTAACTAGCTTGGGAGTTTTCGGGACTAAAGTTCGATACATGGGTCAGATAGATAATACGGTGGTATCGAGCCTTGCACAAGTCACGATTATTCCCGTTCCAAAAAAAGAGAGAGAGAGAGAGAGAGAAGAAAGAAAAAGTTGTGATGAAAATCACCAAAAAACAATTATTGTTGTTTTTTTTCTATTGAATAAATAGACCTACTTACGCCCAATTCGAGTTTTTGAATTTCAGAATCAAGACTTACTTTTCGTCCACATTTGTACTCAAAACCCTCGATGATTGTGCTTTGTGTTTGATTACGGATTCTTGAGTCTATCTAATATTTTGGTGTACAAACAACTAATTGAGTCGGTAGGAAAGTCGAATATCTTAAGCCGTATGTTATTCTAAGATTTTAGGTTATCTAGCTCATTTTATCTTTGGAATCAATAGCAATGCTTTGACCAATCCGGCAACTTTGCGGGTGTGTTGTCCGAAAATCCTCACGAGACACAACTCGTACTTTGGGGGTACCCAGGGGTTCAAAGGTTTGTTGCATACGCTAAATGCAATCGTGATTCCCTACGTTAGTGGTCTAGATTTAGTTTGTTCTTTTTATTCTTTTATGTTTTAGTTTGTTTTGATTTATTCAGGACGAGTGAAGATCTAAGTTTGAAGGTGTGATAAGTGCTCGTTTTGCACGATTTGTATTTATCGAATCTTGAGTTCTGGTATTCGTTTGTCCGAGTTTCGGCTTTATTTGTACATATTATCCGTTTCTTGTTTTATTTCTATTTTTAGGTTTTGTTAGCTATTTTTGCCGAGTCGAAGTCATTTGAAAGTGAAACCAATTTTTCAAGCCAAATTTAGTGTCTAAGAAGACCCAGATCGCGATACAAGGAGTGCGTATCGCGATCTGGGGTTGTCAAGTAGGCTTTCTGATCCAAACCCAGATCGCGATCCAACAATCCCGTATCGCGATCTGGGGGTTGTCACAGTAGCCTTTTCGCTCAAGAACCAATTTCGATCCAACAATCCCGTATTGCGATCGGGGGTTGTCACAGTAGCCTTTTAGCTCAAGATCCAGATCGCAATCCAGCAGCTTCGTATCGCGATCTGGAGGGTCTCACAGTGCAATTTTGCTTCAGACCCAGATTGCAATACACAACTCCGGATCGCGATCTGGCAAGGCGGTGGGCAGTTCCCCGAGGCCGCCAGATCGCGATCTGGGCACGATTTTTGAGAGAAGATATTTTTAAATGCAAAGCTTCTTCAGGAAGCTTTGCATTAACTACAAATAAGAAGGCCCTTTCATTCTTCATTCTTCTTCGACTTTTTACGGTTTTCGAAAGTTATTTGCGGGAATCTTCGACGGGGGTTTCGACTTGGGTTTTTCTTACGCAATTTCTTTATATTTTGTTCTTCATTTCTTGTGTACATTCTTTTGACATTATGTTTGTTATGAACTAAGAACATTTTCTTCTAGGGTAATGAAAGCTTGTATATATTGATTTCGATCTCTATTTATGTTATATATTTGTCGTGTTTTGATTTCGTTTATGTTTTCCTGTATTAAATGCTTCTGATTGATTGATCATCTCTCGGATTGCTATTAAATAGGAATGAACTCGAGAGAGGATTTCTTGTTTGAAATTAGGAAAACATAGCTCGGGTTGTGGAAACGGAGACGTGATGCACCTCGGGTAGCCCTTGAGGACTTGACCTAAATGCTCTCTTAATATCAGGTTCTGAACGGAGACTTCGGACCTGTGGGTAGACTCTAACTACACTGGAGACGGGGTTTAGAGTATTTTAGCGTCTGGATTAACGAATAGGAAATTGACCTTAGATAACGGATTTGTAGATCATTATTGATTATACATTGGTGGATTTTGCCCTAGAAGTCCCTTTTAAATCGAAACCTCCCGTTAAGAGTTGTTGCAATTCTATTTACGTATATTCTATATATTTGCATGTTCACAATCTTGTTTGTTGTTAATCTAGGGTTTAGCACCATTCCAACCATTTACGATCAGCTAGATAATATAACGATAATATAATTACATTACTCAGCATGTGAACCTATAGGTCCCTGTGGATCAATATCTGGAACCACTGTTTTACAAAATGTGATACTGTACACATGCGGTAATTTATACGTGAGGAAAACGCGTATCAGGTTTTCAAGAACCAGGATGGGTAATCCATCGGTTACAAACATTTTGCTAGCCATTTTTCTTTATATGGTCCAAAGCAATCTTTTTTTTAGGAAGCAAAATTAATGAAGAGAACTGTACCTAATTACTATTATACAAAAAGGAAAAAAGAACGTATTATATTTTTGGTTCATGTATTTATGTTTTTATGTTGTAGCAAAGTATTTTTAAATTAAAATTTTCATAACATATAAAATTGAGTTGTTTGACTGATTATTAAAAAAAAAAACTTAATTGTGTGTATTGGTTATGAATAAAGAATATTTGTTATATGTTATTTTTATTAGTTAAGTGAAAATAGAAACTATTGAAATTTGAGCCCATATTAAATTAATAATTACCAGCCTGGAAAACTCTTTCAAGAGTAAAATTCAGGATTAAGCAATCATCTAGATCAATATTAATTTTGTCACGTTTCAATTATACAAGTCACTAGTTTTTTCTACTTTTATTCATTTGCTTTTGTAGATTTTGGCTTGGTTGGATTTCTGTTTCGGTTTCTGGGTTTGTGGTTTCGGTTACGGTTTATATTTTTGGTTCCGATTTCAGTTCGGTTTTAGAGTTTAGGGTTACAGTTTATGTTTTTAGTTCCGATTTCAGTTCGGTTTTGGGTTTGTCTGATTTTGGACCCGGCCAGATAATTTGTTCATTTGAATGGGTCCAATTCCACCATCAACTTGAGGCGGCCCAATAGTGGTGTTGGCCCACACATTCACTAAAGCCTCGTTTATGAAGAAGCTTCTACACTTCCATTTTCACTGTCCATCTTGGGTAGTCAATCTTGTTCGCTCCCTAGATAATTTGGCCTGTACATAATTTTACTCTGAGCCACTTTATTCGCCAATGAGCGTTGCATTTCAGGCTATAAATATTTGCTGTAGAGAAAGGGTAACATACAAATTCATGATTTTCCTTCATTTTTTGTCATCATTCTTCTGTCAGAGAACGATACAGTCTTAGTGAGGGGTGATTAAACATAGAATTATGAGTGTGTTCGAGAGAAAAAATTTGAGTTATGGGATGGCCAGTCAGATATAGATTTTCTGGGTTGAGTGTGGTGAATTGATCAGTCTCAAGTTGAGAACTTGACACCTATTGGAGTCACCGCCAATTGAATTGTTAGATGTGGATTGGATAATTAGGAACTGAGCCGTTGTTGTACATACAACTCCAAATGTAGGAGTTATTATTGTTTCGAACAAGTACCCAACATGTTTCGGTTTCGGTTTTTGTTCAGTTTCAGTTTCAAACTTTGGTTATGGTTGGATTTTCCTCCATCTAATTAATTTATAATGGGATTTTCTCAAATGGCCCCATATTGTCCAAAGTATTTACTAACAATGAAAAAAGTTAGTGTTAGAGTTGATAAATGAAGGCTAAAAAAAAATTCATTATTAACAAAATATAAACACAAATAATTGTTAATTGCAAAGAAAACAAAGTATAATATGTTTAAGTATTCCATTGTTAAATAAGACGAGATTCTATGTACACAATATTAGCAAAAATTAGCAATCTAATTATATATTTATACATTTCATAAATTGAATAATATTATTTTGGTAGATCAGACTAAGCAAGGTACATAACTAAAAGATATATAGAAAAATTAACATGACACGTGCAATGCACGTACACCTGCCTAGCTCAAATACAAAATAATAGAAACTGAAAACACACTACATGATTTAATTTCTTCCTAACGGAAAAAAACAACTCTCTAGACCAATAACCATTTCATACCCCTTTTCACTAGATTGTTGTTATCTTCTTCAATTTCTTCAACTTGCCTCTCGTCATTTAAAAATGGTTTTTTCAAGAAATTCATAAACCAAATAGCCGAGATCTTTGGGTACCTCGTTAATCCATTCTTGTAGTCTGCGTAAATCATCCCAAATCGAACTGTATATCCTTCGGCCCATTCGTAATTATCAACTAATGACCACACAAAATATCCCTTAACCCTTGCACCCTTGCTGAAAAAAAAATGAATAAATCGATCCAAAACCATATTAGAAAAATATTTTTTTTTGTCAATATATATATATATATATATATATATATATATATATAGAAGGAATAGAGACTTACTCAATGGCTTCCTTCATCGAGGCGAGATGGTCTTGATGGTATTTGATCCTTTTCTTATCAACACGAGCCTGAGTAATTGTTAAGCTCTTATCATTTACTTCACAATAACCTACATGGAAAAAAAAAAGAGTAATTAGTAATTTTAATGGAAAATCGTGTAGTACTCTTCTTTTTCTATAAATTTAATTAATTACCGTTCTCCGTGACATAAATCAATGGATCATTATATACTTCATACGTGTGCACTATCAGCTTGTAGAATCCTTCGGGGACAACGAACAACCATTTCGAACCACCCTGATGGAGCAGAGTGATATTTTAGCAATTAATATGCATATAATTTTTATTTTCATTTTTATATTTTATTTTTTATTTTTTATCATAGCTTTAATATGTAATTATATTAACTACTACGAAATACCCCTACGTACCTGCTCCCCAATTGGAATACCATTTCGTTCGGCTAGAAAACATAAAACAAAACAAAGTTAATAATTATTACAAAATTCAAAACTTGAATATAAACTGATTTAATGTATGCAAATTGGAAAAATAAAATTAATTACTACTTACTGAGGAAAGCAGCTTCTTGATCAGTATAATAAGTTGGTGGGGTACCGTTTGGGGTAGGTTTGTAAGTCACATAATTTGTGGTGTAATAATTTAAACCAATAAAATCAAATGATCCTTTTACTAACTTTTTCTGCTCCTCTGTAAATACCGGTAGCCGGTTTCCTAATCGCTCCCTCATAACAGGGGGATAATCACCTGTCACCATCGGTGCTACAAACCTGAAAACATGTCAAACAAATTTATATTTTGTATTATTCTTTCATATTCATTATTTTTAGGAATGGAAAGTGAGCAAGTCTGATTGAAATGATCATTTGGAAACTATATGTTTGCACGGACACGAAAACGGTGATATGAGAAAAATAGGGAAACGAACACGGGAAAACGGCATATCTCAAAAATGGGGTTGAAGGAGATTGTGTAAACGTGTACATATTAAAATTATAAGGGATTTAATTTTATATATGAATTATTATTATATATTTTTATACAACACATATTCAAAGTAAATTTTACTATCAACTATCAATTTGCAATTGATCATTAAATCGTACAAATAATTAGGGAAGCAACAAAAATATTTGAAAATTTGCTATTCAAACATGTTTATTAACTTTTTCGAAATTGAAAAATGGCCCATAATGTGTCCGGCAGCAGGTGTCCTCGATTGCCCGATACGAAACGTAACCAAAACACGAAAACGTTAAGAAGTTGAAGTTTTCGTGCTACATAGCTTTGAAATAATTCAATTTTTTCGAAAGTAAAAACTAACTCTAGTTATATTCCAAACGAAAATAAAAAAGAGAAATTAGCAAAAACTGGAAACCAAAATTTCGGAAATTGGAATGAAAAAGCTTGTTCCAAAAAAACTTTAGAAAAACAACCCGATGGAATTTGGCGGAAATTAGAAATTTCATTTTTTTTATTCATCGATGATATAAAATACATAATAGTATTAATATTATAATGTAATTTTTGGAATTTTTTTTATAAAAAAATCATCTTTTTTTAATTAAAATCTTAATGAAATTGGTATCTCACATAGATAATATATTACGATTATGATCCAAAATATTAAGTAAATCAAGAAATTTGGAATTTGAAATAAAAAATATATTCCCTCATAATTTGAATTATTAAAAATAAGAAGTGAAATAATATTTACCATCCCCACATAAAATCAACACCCCTTGAAGCAGCTTTTTTATCTTCTTCAGTGTCTGTTAAAGGTTCAAACCACTTTGATACATGCGTGACACCTATTGTGCCTCCTTGGACCTCCTGTAGTACAACACAAATTAAAACAAAATTTATTTATTTTAATTTGTATATTTCGTCACAAAAATATTTAATGTTACATAACATCTGTTAAAGAAAGTAACTAATTTATATATAACACATTGTAATTAAGAAGAAAATTATTAATATTTAACGTATACAGATGATTAATTACTTGATAATCTCTTCTGTATATTTCAACAGCAGCTGCATGAGCAAGAATTAAATGGTGTGCAACCAAATAGGGTTCCGTCCCAGGGTTCGATCGACCGAGCACACTTTGGTCAACTCCACGAGCACATCTGTGTGTCGTCGTTTCGGATGAACTTCCTCCGGTTGAATACGAACCGTGGTTAGGTGGAAAGGATCCATTTATGTAACCATGGTGGGTGTATGTCCACGACTCATTTGTCGTGATCCAGTGTTTTACACGGTCACCGAACTCGAAGAAGCACACTTCTGCAAACTCTGCAAAATCTTGCCTGATAGCGAGATTAATTAAAATTATTTAAATATTTTACTTAATTGTTACATAATTGTAAAGAAGCGAGAAAATACTAATATTCAAGTACTTACACTATTTTTGGGCTTTCAAATCCACCGTACTCGTATTGCAAGCAACTTGGAGTATCCCAGTGGAATATAGTTACATAGGGCTCAATTCCTAATAAAAAAAATAAAAAAAATTAGGAAAATATATTGTACATTTGTTTGTGTGCTGAAAGTTGGAATGAAATTTCCAATTTCTGCCGATTCCGATAAAAAAAGTTTGCAATTTTGGAATAATGTTTTTCATTATGATTTCCGGAATTCCAATTTCCGATATTATTTGATTTTTTTTTTATTGGAATTGAAATTATATAACAAGATATTTGAAATTTTCGATTTTTCGATCCGATTTCATTTCCGAAAATTCCGATTTTTTTTCCCAAAAAATACACCAATATATATACATACAAATATCTAATATCTTATTTAGTGTTTGATGTTTACTAATAAAATTAATTAATTAATTAATATATATATATATATATATATATATATATATATATATATATATATATATATATATATATATATATATATATATATATATATATATATATATATATTTTTATATATATATATATATATATATATATATATATATATATATATATATATATATATATATATATATATATATATATATATATAAAACCTTGGGAGAGCAACAGGTCTATGATATCATTATAGAACTTTACGCCATCTCTATTAACACCAGCCGCCAATCTCCCACCTAAAGTAGAAATAATTAATACTTAATTAATGAATATTCTTTTAATTTTATATATATATATATATATATATATATATATATATATATATATGTATGTGTGTGTGAGAGAGAGAATTAATTAGAATACACGTACCTGGCAATATTCTGGTCCATGCAATTGAAAACCTGTAAGCATCTAAGCCTAACTTTTTTATCAAAGCAACGTCTTCCTGCAAACCAATTACTTCATTCTCTCAATTTGTGAAATTAATTAAGTAATATACCCAAACCCGATTATCGATTATTAGGAATAAAATAATAAAACTAATACGTACGCGGGAATATAATTTTTAATGCTGAATAACTAATTACGTACCTTGAATCTGTGATAGTGGTCAATAGCTAGACAACCGTTGCTACCATCGGATATTCTAGCTGCCATTCCCATACACAATAGTAATTAAGAGACGAATTATAAAAACAAATATATGTGTGTGTTTAGTAACTAATTTTTTATATTGACAGGAAAATAAAAAAACAATTTTTATACAAATAATTTATGTGCAATTTTGAAAATAATATGATATATACTAATGATCAACATTTGCTAAATTATTACTTATGGGTTTTTTTTTAAGTAATAATGAGTTGTTAGATTAATTTTACGGGTATGAATTGAAACAAAGTGTTCGAATTTTGCCAATTTCTTTAAAAAAATTCCAACTACGGATCAGTCCTTTTTTTAAATCTCTAGAAATCTCAATGTCCGATTTTTCAATTTCTTGTTATTAAAACATAAATGAGATTCTGATTTTCGACCAATTTGAATTTCCGAAATTATTCTAAAAAAGTTCAATTTTGTTTTGCAAAATTACACTTATAACATCAATATCATTAATTATACTTTTATTAATATCAATATTATTATATAACTTTCAATCGTAGTATTATAAAGAAAAAATCAATATAAAGTTGAGGTGACAGCCTGATTTTATTTGGTCAAAGGAAAAAAAAAACAGCCAGATTTTATAAAGGAAGCTGGGACCTAAAATGGATTAAATTAAGACATTAAAAATAATTAAATCCATCCACGTGTCACGAGGTAATCACATCCGTTTTCCAACAAATAAAAAAAAAGGCCATCCGTTTTTAATTTATTCTCTAATTGAGAAAATATATTGTATAGTAAAACAAAAGGATGATGAAGAATTAATATATAACATGCATGTATGTATATAATATGCATGTTAAAGAAAGAGAGAAAAGATCACCAGGTTTGGTTAGGGTGTAGGTGTCCCAAACACTCATGGATTTTCCAGCCTCCTTATAAGCACCTTCTATCTGAAATTAATTAATTAATATTAATTAATTAATTAATCACTAATTACTAATTAGTTAATATACTAACCAATAAGCAGAAAACACAGACGATACCTGATAAGCAGAAGTAGCAGCACCAAAAACAAAATCCCGATCGAAGTCATGTCTACTTATCTTGCTGTTCGAGTACTTCGACGACTTCGACACCGGTGCACCTGCACTGCTTGCCATTGTATTTGCGTGTGTGTGTTATTGAGTAAGAGAGAGAAAGATATCTAGAGAGAGAGAGAGAGAGAGAGAGAGAGATATGAGAATAACTACATGCTCATATATATTTATAGGGCTACATATGAGACTGATTACGACAAAAAAAGAAGTTCACGTGTTGTATATGTTTTCTCTAATTTTATCGCCGGATCGAATATACATTAAAAAATAACGTTGAAAAATTTAAAGACCAAAATTAGTGTTATAAGATTTTGTTATAGGATGAGTTTAAATTTTAGAGGTTCGCGGGCCCCTTCCGGAAAAATGTTTATAACTTTTTTTTGACAAATCAAGAGGATTGGGAGAAAAAAAAATTTTAGGACTTTTAGAATTTTTTTCGAATTAATTTGGATTTTGAATTGACCAATAAAAAATGGGTGGGCTAACTAAATTATAGGTATAATGGATTTTTGTTCAATTGAGAGTGGACGCGCTCTGGGCTCCAAGCCACAATTCGTAACTTTCTTATCCAACTTATTGGACTCATTTATTATTTCTCTTTGTTCTTTTCAATTAAAAATAATTTGTTTTATTTTTGTATATAAAATTAAACACTTAAAAAGTATAAGAGCACAATATTAAGACAATAAATTATATATATACATATATAGTAGTAAAAATATTAAAATCTAAAAAGGAGGCTATGCCGACTGCTGGCCCTAGACAGCCTTCTCTACTAATCTCAATTTAATCCTTTTTTTATTCTCTCCTTTCCACCCAATCTGTAGTCAATCACGCATTGCATGTATACTCATTTTTGGTAATTTGTTGTCACCACTTAAAAAGAAGGGTTTATTAAGGAAAACCCCCTTGTTCATATTTTCTAATGAGGTAGATCCAATTTTTTTTTCCCCTTTTTGAGATACACCCAATTTTGCCAACTTGGCAAAATATATTATATAATTTCCCTTTAATACCCCTGTTTTATTATTAAACAGCATTTATTTCCTTTAATACGTGATTTGAGATTTGCTGATACGTTGCCTAAAATCACGGAATAAATTTACGTGAGATCATTGGCCGTTATATCAAATCGTGTACAATATTTTTTGAAGATTCTCTTCATCGTTCCAGCGGGTTTTATCGTCATTGAAGATTTCTGCACCGTCGTGGAAATAGGATCGATTTTTGAGCGTTTGTTGTTGGACGTTGTTAACCGGGTATGAATGCGTTATTCGTTTTTATTTTTTGCTCAATGTCCATGATTGTCTTGTACGGTGGTTAGAAATTTTTAAGAGTTGTGTTGATACTTGATTCTATTAAGTAGAACGTTTTTTAACAAAATTATTCCGTCATATATATATCGTTTTTTTTTTTTGCCGATGATGTTTGTTTGGAAGAGGATTGACAGAGTTAGAAGAGGATGGTTCACGCAGATCGGACCAGAGTTGTTTTATATGAGCTTCGTAGTTGGTTTATGCAATAATCGGAATAATTGTCCGCTTTGGTCGAGTTCATGTTTTTATCCCGATCGATAGTTGGTTTATTTGTTTATAACAGCCGATTTAAGTGTGCTGGGTAGTACATTAAAATATAGTTCGTAGTCTTTTTTAATTTAACGTATGAATTTTGCATTTTAAGTTTATTTTTGATGATATTAATGTATTATCATTCAAATGTATTTGCAGTCTATTTAATTATTTTTTAGTATTCTGCATTTTTAATTTTGTTTCATGATTTTAGGTTTTTTCGATGGCGAATTTCGTCGGGATTTTGTTGAGGTTTGGTGGGTTGGTTGCTATAAAGAGGTGTTTACGATGTAATGGCTCGGTAACTTCGGTTAAGTGTTAAACCGTTGTAATACAGTAGTATACTATTATGAATACCGTATGATACTACCAGTATCATTTTATTATACTATTATGAGATTATTAATGTACTAGAGTTTTTTAACTCGACATATTGGTTTGATTGTGTTATGATGTGTTTTATGTATTTTATCAAAACCCTAGATTGAAATTATGAGATTATTAATGTACTATTTTATTGGTTATGTGGAATACTTTACGTTGGTGTTGTTCTCAATGTTCTTGTCATTTCAGTGGTATATTGTTTGTAACACAATTTCATATCAATATTATAACCGTAATATACTATCACAGCAGATTAATGTACTATATTGAAAATATTAATATACTATGTGGTTGAATAATACGGGATCCATACTCTATTAACGAGATCCATAGTCGAATTAGATCAATAAGATAGTCTATTACATGATATAAGGAAAATTACCTTAATTGATTAGTATAACAAACATATTATTCAGTTTCCATATATATTATTATTTTTCCATATATATTATTATTTACCCTAATCGTTTTCATATAATAAGGAAAATTACCCTAATTGATTAGTATTTCAAACAAACATATTATTCAGTTTCCATATATATTATTATTTTTCCAATAGTCAATTAATTAAACCCATAGTCGAATTAGATACATGAGATAGTCTATTAAAAAATATGAGATAGTCTATTAATTTTAAAAAGGTAAAGTAACGGGATTTGTGGGATTTGATTGAGGGTAATTATGTAATTACGAAAAGCTTGGGCTTTTATCAAAATGGCAAATTTAAATTTGGGTCTACCCCTATTATTTGAATGTTTAAGGGGGTTATATCTAATAGACCCTAAAAAGAAAAAAGAAAAAAAAAAACCGCGTTCCTCATTTTTGGTATTAATCCACTATCCATATACCCTACTGAGGTCCACAAAAAACACTTCTTGTTCATTTTGTATAAACTTATTTATATTTGTAAAATTAAATATTTAATAAAAAGATTATGTATTTATTTTTCATATACGTTTATTGTAGGTGGTCAATCGAACCTTTTGAATTAAGGGGTAATGGCAAATAGGCCCATGACAAGGGCACTTAATTAAAAAAGGGACATCCAACTTTTTTGTTTCTCAAATAAACCCACCCCATTCAAACTTATTTGCAAATAAGGAAAATCCCTTTATATATACCAAAATTACCCCCAATTCATTGAAACCCAATTCAACTCCAATTTCATGATTTACACCCCAATTTAGCCCAATTTCATCAATTAACCAATTTTAACCCTAATTTCAATTTTGACCCCAATTTTAACCCTAATTCTTAACAATTCCACCCATTATGCTCTAACTTCCTTAATATTACACATTGACCCCGGATTTAAACAAATATATCACATTAACCCCCAAAACTTTTTTTTTTTCAGAAAATAAATTTTTTTTTTGAAATATTTTTTTCCGGCCAGATTCCGGCGTTGACCGCCGGAAACCGCCGGTCTCCGGCGTTGACTTTTTTTTTTTTTTTTTTTTTTTTTTTTTTTTTGAATTTTCGTTTTCCCGAAATTTTTTCCGGCCGGTCAACGGCCGTTGACCGCCGGGGTCTCCGGCGTTGACTTTTTTTTTTTTTTTTTTATAATTTTGTTTTTTCTTAAAAAAAATATTTTTATTAATTTTACTGTCTTGGCTGCTAAATTATTGTCTCCGGCAGCTATTTAACTGTCGGAGACTGTAATTTAACTGTTAATTGACTGTTTTTTTTTTCTTCAAAAATATTTTTAATTAATATTACTGTATTCGTTGCTAAATTACTGTCTCCAGCAGTTATTTAACTGTCGGAGACAGTAATTTAACTGTTAATTGACTTTTTTATTCTTAAAAAAAATATTTTTAATTAATATTACTGTATTCGTTGCTAAATTACTGTCTCCAGCAGTTATTTAACTGTCGGAGACAGTAATTTAACTGTTAATTGACTTTTTTATTCTTAAAAAAAATATTTTTAATTAATATTACTGTATTCGTTGCTAAATTACTGTCTCCAGCAGTTATTTAACTGTCGGAGACAGTAATTTAACTGTTAATTGACTTTTTTATTCTTAAAAAAAATATTTTTAATTAATATTACTGTATTCGTTGCTAAATTACTGTCTCCAGCAGTTATTTAACTGTCGGAGACAGTAATTTAACTGTTAATTGACTTTTTTTTTTTCTTTTTTAATTTTTTTCCTTGCAAAAAAATTTGTTTTAATTAATATTACTGTCTTGGATGTTAAATTACTGTCTTCAACAGTAATTTAACTGTCTTAGATAATAATATTAATAATATTACTGTTCGGAAAAATAATATTCATAATATTACTGTCCCAAAAAGTAATATTACTGTCTGAGACAGTAATTTAGTAGTCAAGACAGTAATATTAATTAAAATATTTTTTTTCTAAGAAAAAACAATTCAAACAAAAAAAAAAAAAAAAAAAAAAA